ACAGAAGAAGTTATTGTCCTTCCGTTTCATATGACTACACTTGTAGCTACCGTAATGCATGGAATTTAAATAAATTTTATTATGTCTGCAAATCTCTGGGCTTTTATTTTTTTTGGTAAAGCAGGGTTTAAAAGCAACTTTTTTTTTTCCTACCAAGTGAACAAAACCCACAGTTCCTTGGATCTTAAACTAATGAAGAAATTAAAAGCCAAGGAAAATTACTGTCTTGTTCATATTCTGGACTGACTTAAGATTTCCAGATATCTGACTGCTTTCTTGAAGCAAGCTCATGGATTTGAAATTTGCAAAGACCATTATTAGATAATAGTTAGATTCCTAAATTGTTAGATCTTTTAAATCTTTTTTTTTTAAGGCATTGAAATGCATCTGAAGGCTACATGATGCTCCAGCAGAATTTTTCCACTTTTGAACAAACTTAATGGGGGATTCTAAAACCTCATTATTATGAGGCTGGACTGAGTATTTATTATTAAACTGAATAGTCATCTGGTGGGTTGGAATATCAGTAGATAGAGAGTCTGAGTATTTCCATTACTCATCCCATCTAGTGCATTTGATTACATTTCCATAAATCCAGTTAATGTCACCTTGTCTGTTAACAGAATCCACATTATGCAATTAAAGATATTGCTCTCCTGTAGGAAGTTTTTATTTGGGTATAAAATATTTGCATTCTATAGCAAATACACTGATATGAAAATGTAAGGCATAAATCTGCACAAATTGGCTGCATTTTGGGTAGAAGAGCTGGAACTACATTGTGTTTGAATAGTCCTCAGATCACATCTCAACTTTTTTCATTTCATCTCCATTCTACATTTTATAGTCCCATTTTTACTACTATTAAGTAAAGCTAAATCTAGATGAAAGAAGAAAAAAAAAGATAATGTGGCTTTGTTGGAAATAAATACTATTTGCTGATTCACTGATGTAATAAACTTTTTTAAATGACCATTTTGAATACTTCCTTGTTTGAAAATGTGGTATGCTGCTTTGAAGATGAAACAAAACTAAAGGAGCTGTGCAACCACAACAGTTGAAAGGAAGGGAGGGGGGGAAAAGGAAATAGAAGTTGGATTGAAGCTCCAGGAGCAGCAGGAGCACTGCCAGGGTAACTGTGCTTGCATATAACACTGGCAGAGTATTCCTGGGTTCTGGCATGGCTGTAACTCATACCAGCAAAACTGTGAGAGTGTTTCTGCAGAAAGGAGGGATTTGGGGTTTTATTGTCCCCAGTAAAACAGCATTTGCAGTGTGGCAGTGATGAGGATCACACCTTTTTCTCTCTGCTGGTTGGCCAAAGTTTGTAGTGTAGACATGGCTTAAGTGTTTAGCCACGATGTAACTTATAAAAACACAAATTATAATTCTCTGAATTAAGACCTTGTATGTCCTTGAACTGAAAACCTTGGTATATGTAACAAAAATTAAATGTAAAGCAAAAAAATCTGAATGTGCAGCAGTACTAATTATTTGGCAACAGGAAAATAATGACTTGTTTCTGCAAGTGACCAGAAGTAAAGCTCTAACTGGAGGAATGGGTGACATTGCCATCAGCTGTCTTCTTGAAACCATTCCAGCCTCCTTGGGCATCTCTTGCAGACAATCAGGAACTGATCCACAAACATGGTGACACTGGATTCCTGAGACACTTCCTCTGGTAGTAAATTGTGTTCCTGAAGAGCAAGTTCTTGACGATGGTGTAATAGTGTTGTAAGAAAAACGGCTGCTTTAAGGTTTATCCATGGGGATATTTGCTGCTCATGACTTTTATGCCCCTCTACAGATCTTTTTCAGTAGCATAAAAAGCCCAGGGAAAAGTGCTCAATGAAGAACCTCTGTTTTATGGCACCACTCCATATATTAAAAATCATGTTAATTATGAGAAATGTGTTTTTATAAGTGTTTATTAATGAATATTACCTAAGGGAAAAAAATATTGTTTCAATGTCCCAAGTATTTGATTCTGTATTACTCTGGCTTTTTGGTTCTTAACTCAGACTGTTTAAATTATGATGATAAAGCAGATGAAATGTACTCCAGACAAGACTGTTTTCTTCCTGAACTGGTACTTTAAGGCTCTCACTTATTCTGCTGTTTTTGTATACCCTATAGAGGATTTGGTACAGAAAAATATACCAACCAAACTGGAGTTACTACTGAAGATTTTATATTGTGAACTTGTATCTTTCCTTGTGTTTATTTTAAAGCACTATAAACCTGACAAGATACTACTTTTCCTCTGAAGAAATACTAGAAAGGATTCTAGTCTTAATATAAAGTGGAAATTTATGCTAACAAACCCAAAACCTGTTGTCTGTGTATATATAACTTTTGATAATACATATCCATGACATCTGCCATCAAAAATTCTGGAGGAACATAGGCCTGGAACTCGAATAATATTAAACCTCAAAGATCTCTTTACAGCAGAAACAATTGCTACTTGTACTTCCCTTTTGCTATGAGAAAGTATAAAATCAGGCATGTAGAGAAACATATAAGTAATGAGGTAGACTGGCTTGCAATTATTTTAAATCTTAGCATTTAAGTAAGTGGCACAAATGGCTTAAAGAAAAATACATACTTTCATAGTCCAAAAAGTTAAATTGAGAGCTACAGCAGGATAATGTACAGCAATAGCACTGATCAGAGCATCAAACCTAATTTTCTTGTAGGAGTAACTGTAAATTGATGAACTTGCTAAATTAAAAGTGCACTCTTTTATAGTTTATATTCATTGCATGCTGTATTAAGCTGAAATATTTCTTATCCAGAGATTAACTTAATTTTTCCAAGACAGGTCTGTTAGCTATGTCAAGTACCTTTCCAGAGAAAATGATTATACTAAGGCAGTTAAATCACATCTAGTAAATTCAGTCGTGTCAAACCTAAAATTGTTCAGAAAAATGAACTTGGATGAGACTGACGTGAAAAATTTGAATTTGAGTTGCTAATAATAGTCCCTTTAGTTTTATCCTATTAATGCTATACTGACCCAGTACAGTTGGGCTTCAAACATGCTGTTCAATCGTATCTTGCAAGACTAGCCTGGCTTATTTTCAGAGAGATGTTCCAGTCATCCGACTTTTTCTATTTTGTTTTAACATGTCACACTAGTATGTTGATGTTTTATTAAAATAGGGCTGCTCTAAAATATGCAAAGAAGAAGTATGGCTAATACAGTTATCAGAATATACAACACCACATGCCTAAATTCTACCAGTACTGAAAAGATTTTAATGAGTCTGCCCTCTTTGGCTACCCTGCATGTTCTCACCTTCACTAATTTCTCTAATCAATACTTCAAACAACATGGCAACAAAGGATAGCTTTTCTTTTTCTTACCCAGTTTCATTTATTTTTTTCTAATATCACAATAGGATTTTTTTTTCCCACTCTTTAAAATCAGTTTATGTCCATATAGTTCTTTCATAAGTCTGGATATGTCTTGAAGCCATCAACTATTCCACTGTTGCTCTAAAAAACACTAACAATAGAATGAAAATATAAACCCCTACGTGAAGCAGTTTGTCTCGAGACTAGGGTGTTTTAGTTTCTTTCTCTTTGTACTTTCTGTTTGCACACTGATGGAGCAACAAATTTTGTTGAAAGACATCTGATGAGAAAGAATAAAACCATAAATAGAAAGGCAAAGGGCAAGAAAATAATCTAGAGAAGAATGAATGACTCAGACTCCTAATTACATGCATATTTAAACCCTGGTGATGCATAGCTGTGTTACCCAGGTAGCAGCTTACCTGTGTGATGAATGCAGACAAGGCAAAGCTGCCAAGGCACACACAGCACTGTGGGAATGAGGCCAAAATAATTCCAGGCTAGATTTTATCTCAGAACAATGTATTTATCCAGCATGGAACTCAATGGGATAAGCATCCTACAATTAAGCTACTTCCATGTAGTCAGTCAGTGCATTTCCAAACTGAACAGCAGATGCAGCAGTTGTGCCTTTATTAGTCACACATGAGGAAGAAATGGTTTAGCATGTGATAATCAGTGGCTGCCTCAATGGCAGTGACCTGGAAATAGCAGAGTTCAAGACACAGTGTGGGGAAGATGAGGAGCAGAAGGCAGGCCCTGGACTCCATGAGACATACTTGAGTTTATTCAGAGAACCAACAGGCAAGATCCCATGGGAGGCAGCTCTGAAAGTCAAAGGAGCTCAGGGAAGCTGGCAGCAGTTCTTTAAGGACATCCTTCTCCAATCATAAAAACAGTTCCTCCTGATACTCAGGAAAACAGGGAACTTACAACAGCACTCCAGAGGAAAAGGGCAGTAATACAGGAGGTAAAATCAGGGATAGGCTTCAAAGAAGGAATCTGAAGACATGGGTAGCAACTGTTTGGACAACAAGAATTTGAGGGTAGAGATAATGGCTTGTCCTCTACCCGAAGGCCAGTAACAAATGGAGCACTGGGACACTCGGGCACTGGCACAACCTCCATCCCTGGAGCTGGGAAGGCCGGGCTCGACACTGCCCTGAGCATCCCCGTCTGACCTCCGGCTGGCGCTGCTGCCGGGGCGGGACGGACTGACGGCCTCCGGAGCTCTGCTCCAACCTCGATTAGCCCGTGACCTTTCTGGGACAAGGCTGGCTCTGAGGACGGGAACGGCGCTCCCGAGGAACACCCGCGGCCCCGGACCGGGATCAACGGGAGCCGCGGGACCCGCCCCCTCCGCCCCGCCCCGGACGGGCCCCGCCGTGACCCGGAAAGAGGAGCCCGCGCAGGCGCAGCGCCCGCACGTGGCACCGGTGGGACCATGGCGGGACGGAGAGAGCTGCTGGAGAGCGCCCAGGTACCGCGGGGAGCCGGGAGGGAGCGCCTGGAGCGGGGCCGGGCCGGGCTGGGGTTTAACCACGGCTGGTGCCGTTGCAGGTGAAGAAGGCGGTGGAGGCTCTCCTGGCTTTCGCCAGGAGCAAGGCCAAGGGAGACGCGCTGCTGCTCAACGAGAACGAGAGCGTTCACCTCCTGGTGACGGTCTGGAAGGTCCCGCGGGAGGCAAAACTCATCAGAATGTAAGAAACTCAGCGGCGGCTGTGTGGGTACAGGGGTTGCTCGTGTCCTTTGGCTTGGGAAAAAGCACTTTGCTAATGCTGAGCGTGAGGGATTTGGCTGCCATGGCCCCCTCCTGGCAGCTCCCGTGCCTTCAGTGAGAACCACTTTAGCCCCACTTTTGGTGTCACTGGAAGCTGGGCTGTGCTATCCTTAAGCACAGAGAATACTGAGTCTTCGGGTTGCCAGTTACAAGGTATGTGCCTTTCAATCCTGAAGCTTGAGAAAATAAATCCACTGAGATTCCACCAAGGATGTTTAGTAGTTAACAGAATCTAAATACAAGGGTTTCCCTGTATTGTTAAAGGGTAATGATCTCTCAGTGTAGACCTAGTTCCGGAAAAAACTTCTCTTATTAGACATTCTTTGTCTGTCTCGTATCCTCATTGTAGACCACTGCCCCATGGCATTCGGCCAGAAACAACTGAGGTTTGCCTTTTCACAAAGGATGAACCAAATTTATCAGCAGAACAGACTGAAAATCTATACAGGAAACTTTTAATCCAGAATGGGATCAGAAGTATTAGCCAGGTAAGAGAGGTGTTTGATGGTATAGTAAATGCTTGAATAATTGAGTCCTTTGCAGCTGGATTGGATTGGTTATGCTACTAGCAATAAAACTATAAAATAATTTTATTGTTGTATTTAACCTTGATTTAGATGTTACCGTGTACTCAAGTTCAGTTACTATGCAAGACATCCATGTTTTTTGATTCTTAAAACAATAGGAAAAGGATACAGTGCATTTTGATTGCCTTCAGCATTCTAAAATAATGATTCTGTGCAGTTCTAAGAAGCATTCTAGGCTGCATTTTTAGCAGTGGGAACTAAACTGTCACTTGCACTGCAGGTCATCTCCTACAAGACTCTCAAAAAGGAGTATAAAATGTTTGAAGCGAAGCGTCGCCTCCTCAACAGATTCGATCTCTTTCTGTCTGACGACCGAATTAGGAGACTCTTGCCCTCACATCTAGGAAAACACTTCTATGAAAAGAAAAAGTAGGTCTTTAAATTGTGTAGATCCATTTTTCCTTATCTTTTTTAGGATCAGATTCTTAGTAAAGCAGGGGGTTGGCTTTGTTTTGGGTTTTCTGATTATTTCTTTTTTTATAACCCTTTCCCATTCTTTTTTAGGGCACCTTTATCTGTAAACCTGAAAGCCAAAAATCTTGCTAATGAACTACAAAAGCATATCCAAGGGACTACACTCCCAGTTAACAACAAAGGGTGCTGTTAGTAAGTACAAATAGATGAGAACTTCACTTGAAGGATGGTTGTACCTTAACTGTAGGAATTTTAAATGAGTTCTTTTTATTCTATTAATATGTGAATAAAAGATGTTAAGGGTCACCATTCCAAATATGGGCCATTTTGAACCTTAACCTATATAAAGAAACCAAACATTTTACTGTAAAGTTTTACTTTTTGTCTCTTTTTTCCTTATACCAGAGGAATTTCTAGGCACCTCTCACTGTAAAACAGCATGTACAATCTTAGAGAAATATTTCTGTTAAATTAGATAAAAACTATTTTCAAAATATGCTAGTACTATTTTTTTTCATGTATTGTATATCTAAAAGGATCTAAATTTGGAATATGCTTCATAATATAAGGCAGAAGTTCCATATCCAAATATGAAACGGTAAATACAGGTGAATCTCTTCTGACTGCTATTACAAAAAACTTCTGCTATAGCCATCCATCCTTTATGGAAGTAAAGAAAACACATAAATATTACTCTTCTCTTGTTTCAGTACAGCACGTATAGGTCACACTGGAATGAAAGTGGATGAGATCATGGAGAATGTCATTGCAGCAGCACAAGTGATTGCTAAGAAGTTACCAAAGGTACTGCTGATTGACTGTGTTAAAGCCCAGTGGGTTCATACTTCAGCCTGGTTGTTTTTACATAATGTACTGGTTTTATTGTTGCAGAATTGGAAAAATGTGAAGATTCTTCACCTCAAAACACTTAAATCAGTTGCACTTCCAATATTTACTGCGAATATCTCCAACCTGGATGAGCTTGACGCAGAGCCACCTCTCAAAAAGAAGGAAGAAAAGGTAAAACAAAATTTCTTCAAACTTTGCATAAGGTCAGATTGGTGCAGTTAGTTCTTTGTTTTCCTTTTATGCATTACAGTGTTGGGTTTAAACATTTAGCAGTTGATCCCAGGTATTTATGGCTAAAAACAGGTTAGGCCGTCACTACCTCAGTGCTTCAAATACTCAGTAATAATAATGAAATTATGCAAGCTCCCTCATGGGTTGTAAAGCAAACTGGAAGTAAATGTTTCTAGTGCTAAACTAAAGGGAGATGAGATTCATTCTTAGAACTTTGTTAGTATTGTTTATTCATATTTGCCTTCCAAAAATACACTCATTAACATATAGGTGGATTTCAGATTATGCATCTATTTTTTGTTGGCTATTCAGTGACATCTGAATAATTCAGAAGCTCGTATCATATTTGTATAGATAGGGGGCCTTATACTTGTAAAAAATAATAATTGGCTATCCCTTCATACTGAATTCTGCTTATGTTAGTTTGTCTGAAGTAAATGTGGAACATGAATATTCAACTTAAAGACTGTAATCTTGACACTATTGTAGTTGTGAGTTATTTATAATAATCTGCATGCAATGCATTTTTTCATATTTTACGTGTGGTTGATCGGTCTGGGTCTATTGAATAAGGGTCTTTAATTGAATGTTGCTACACCGTCTAATTTTTAACCACATTAAAACTATTATACATTTAGAAATGTTATGGGGATTTGTCTGAGATGTACTTCTGATTAACTAGAAGGGAAAAACCAAGAAACCGAAGAAGACAGCTAAAAAACTGAAGTCAAGTCAAGTCACTGTGACAACTGAAAGTAAAGCTGCTGCTGCTACTCAGGAGCCTGCAATAAAAGAAAAAGTAGAAATAGTCCAAGAACCAGGTGATCATGATGACGAAGAAATTCCACAACTGGTCCCTATACAAACAAAGAGTTTAGCTGAGATGGAGGTAATTGCTTCATAATGTTGGAAAACTCATATTTCAGTTAAAACTAAAGATTTTGAGTGGATTAAATTTCTCATTGCTCCTTAGGTAACAGTGTGTGTTAACACACTTCAAACGGACTAAGGCGCAGTTCAATTGATAGAAAGCATTTGTCATTTATCATGGTTTTCCTTTCCTGAAAAACAGGAAATGTGTTTCTTAGGTGGAAGGGTAATTTTTTTGTCTTGTCTTAAATACAGAAAATAGAACCAAGTCCAGAAAAAGGTGGCAACTTGGGCAAGAAAACCAAAACACCCCTTGGAAAGAGAAAGAAACAACCTCTAGTTCCGGAGACTCCAAAATCGAAACCTGATGTTGCAGGAGAGTGTGCAGACTTGCAGACACCGCCAAAACAGAAAAAAGCCAAACAGGTCAGCAAGCCAAAGGAAGCAATAAAAGAAAAAGACATGAAAAAGACTCCAAAAAAACCTGAAGTGAAGTCTTTTGCAACACCCAAAGCTGGCAAATCAGTACAGTCAGTCAAGAAGTCTTCAAAACCATTGAAGCAAACACCCAAGAAAGGGCGGGTGCCACAGTCAGCATGAGAGTTGTATGCTGTAACGCAGTTTATATAGTCATTCAGTGGTGTATTTTTAGTAAACAAATATATTCATGACCTTCTTAAGAAATCCGATTCCAAGGGCCTTTTTTCCACCAAGATCTGTAATGATTCATTTGTTTCCTTCTACTTTACAAGATGGTACAAATAAACTCATTGTCTCTCCAGCCCTATCACTTTTTATCTTTTATCTGTCAAAAGGCAGGGAGGGGGCTATTCCAGGGAAAAAAAGCTGAGAAATAGTCTGTAAGGGACATTTCCTGAAGCATAGCTTAGTACAGACAGGGTCTGAAGCATGAAGCATGCATGCCAGAAGCAGCAATCTACATGTGCCTTTAAAGGTGAAATAGCTGCTACCATTTTTTTCCTATAATTTTTTCAATATAATGAAGACAGGTTGACATCTATTGATCTTACTACACATATTGTAAGTTAGCAGCCTGATACCAAGCCAAACAATGTAATTTTTAGCTGTTTTTACCTGGGGTATTTGTGTATTAAAAAAAAAAACGCACAAGACATGTTTTCTTTAACGATTTATACTTTATGACATCAAGCAAAATCTTACCTTCACTTGTGGGCTTTTCTTCTGCTGCCAGAACAGTTGAGGGTGTTCCTGCATGATGGTCACAGTACCGTTGTTTCTTCCATCTGAAAAAAGCCAAAGGCTGTATGAATTCCAGGTGTGCCAGACAAGTGAACTAGTCCTGTAATGGCATGAAAAATACATCAGGACTGAAAGGTGATATATTTGAAATTGTACAGAACAACTAAATTGTTCTCTGTATGATGATCACTTTATGTCCTTCTCAGAGTGAGAATACCAGGCAGATTTGTGTTGAAATGTCCTGGTGGTAAAAACTCAAATCCAAATAGGAAAAAGTTGATAAGAGACAAGAAGATCAATCAACAGGATGTAACCTGCCATTCAAAAACCCCATCCCCTCTCCTTCTTAGGGCTTCCCATATCAATATGTTTGTTACCTAGGAAGTAAGTTGGTGCTAAACAAAAAGTGGTGAAAGAAACTAGAGAATATGAAAAAGTTCTGCTTGATTAGTGGTGTCTTCTTTGTAACTGGTGTCCTTTATTACTTTTTGTAACCCTTTTGTAACTTTTTAACTGTGAACCAACTGCTAGGAAAGGAATTGAGTCTGTAGTCACAGTAAATGTTGTTGGAGGAATACTCTTCCTCAGCAGCATCGTTCTTGGCACACTGTACTTCCAGAAAAACATGGAAGCTCCATGTGCTCTTAGCCTGTCCGACCTCCCATCAGCTTGATATTCTAGTTACTGGAACTGTGTGTCTTACCCATCGTTAAATAAACTGTTATATATAAGGGCCCTGTGAGAGCAACTACAAGAGATCCTGCAGCCAAATAAAGTTCCGGTGCTTGAGGACTTGGGAGCGTTAAAAGGTGTACCAGGTCATTAACTAACACAAGGGTGAACCCAAATACATGTCTTGCCTTTTACATAACTGCTCACTTGCTGAATTTTACATCTTGCATCCACAACTTGCTTCCTGTTTGTCACCCTGAAGTTGTAGCCCAGCGGCTCTTTATAAGCCTCAAGCACAGAGTTAAAGGAGTCTATGTGCATTTGAAAATGCACGTTATACTCTTGCAAATCTCTGCCGTCTGCTACCAGCTGCCTCCTCTTGCGAGTGTGGAGGTCTACAAAGCGGGTGTCCATCTGGGAGCACCTTTTTTGAAGTGCCTCCTTTCCCGGGTGTCTGAGCGAGGGGACGCTGCCCCGGCTGGAACAGCTGAACGGGTCCAGCCGCGCCCGTCTCACCTGCACATGGAAGCGGCAGCGACCGCCACTTCCAAGGGACGCCCTGGCCCCCGAATGCCGTCGGTCGCTACAAATCAACCTTGAACACCTTCAGCACCCACCGCGGGGGCGGCGGGGCCGCCTGAGGGCAGCGCGTTCCCGCCTCATGGGGGCGGGAGCTGGAGGTGCCCTCAGGTGGGGGGGCGTGGCCTGGGCGCTCCCTCAGGTGCAGGCGGGGGCGGGGCCTGGCAGTGCCCTCAGGTGCGGGGGAACGTGTCCCGGCCGTGCCCTCAGGTGCGGGGGGCTCGGCTCGGACGTGCCCTCAGGTGGGCACCGCCCTCCCGCCGCTCCCGCCCGCCTCCCCTCACGTGCGGGTGGCCGGAGGTGGCGGCGGTGGCGCCGCTCCGATGGCGGCCCCGGGCGGGCTCGGCCGCTGTGTGGCCGCGTTCTGGCTGGCGCTGGCGTTCGACGCGCTGGGGCTGGCGGTGCTGCTGGCGGGCGTGTTCGCCGACGTGTTCTTCTCCGACCTGCTCATCTACGCGGGCGGCATCGGCATCTTCCTCAGCCTCATCTGGTGGGTGTTCTGGTACGCGGGCAACCTGGAGGTGCCGCCCGAGGAGCTGCGGGACGACGTGGGGCTGGCGGTGCCCAAGGGCCGCGGGGACACGCTGCTGCGGCGGCTGGTGCACGGGCTCAGCCTCCGCCTCACGGCCGCGCTCGGGCCCGCCCGCCCCGCCGACATGGAGCTGCAGCGCCCCGCGGGGCCCCGCGGCCGCCCCGCCGAGCCCGGCAGGTGAGACCAGCGAAGGGCAATCTGGGGGCGAGCCGTAAAGTTTGTCTAGGAGAACTGCAGAAAGCTCTCTTCTTACCTGAGGTCTAATTTAATACTTGCTGTGTTAAACCACCTGCTGGCAGCTGGTGCTTCTTAAAATGAAAGTAGTGGGGAATCTTTCTCAGCTCAGGTGGTAATGGAAACTGAGAGAGAAGGATGGCCCGAATGTGATCAGGAAGGGAAAACACTTCCTGTGGCCGTCTAAGAATGGGAAAGAGGAGCTGGAGTAAAGCCCAGTGAGCGTGATGGAGCTTTATGTCCGATGCAGCACAGAAACCCCGTGGTCCTGAACTGGTGCTGAACTGGTCCCGACAGTCACTAAATGCTGCCAGAAGTGGTGCGTCCCACATGAGCTCTAGTAAGAGGAAGCTCCCTCTTTAGCACCATGAGGGAGCCTTCTAAGAGAACAAGAAGAAAGGTGAAATGCTGAGTTATGTTTAACTTGAGGGCAGAGTTCTAGCTAATAGGTTGACGCTCGTAAATGCAGTCATTAGTTAAAATACTTGTCTTGAACCTCAGTCATCTGGAAAAGATGCAGTAATATCCGATGTGCAAAGAAAGTGCCTAGGTCCCATTTCAAAGCCCAGCTGAAGATCATCAAGCCTTTCAAAATCTCCCTAGTTTGTTCATTTACATGGCATGTTCATTTAGGAGGAGAAGCATGCCTTGGAAAAGCTCGTGAGAAAAAAAGTCCAACTTTCACTTCACTATGTAAAATCCTTCATTGAAGGAACTGTAAAAACAGTTTTGCACTGTGTTCAAGGATTCTGAACAACTTGGCTGTTCTGATTCACTATGTACAAGATTAGCTTTTTCTGCAGCTCCTTGAAACTAAATGCTGAAGCTACTGTTGGTTCACAGAAAAGTTCATGTGGGAAATGACCTTCTTTCATGAAAGCCACAACATTTTTCTTGAGAGGAAGTTTTAACAGTAAAGAGATTGAGCACAGATAAGTATTGCTTAATAGAAAACTTGCAGGAGGCAGAAAAGAACAGCAGCAATACAACTTTCAAAGATTTGTTACTGCTCACTGGTTTATTATTAACTACCTCTGCAATTAGAAAACAGGCTGTTGAAAACCAGTCATTCTCTTTTCAGACTTTCTTTTTTCTGAAATGGGTCTAGGATTGACAGATAGAGATCCATATTTACAGGGAAGAAATTACATTTGTAAGTTACCTTTTTCCTGTAAAGATCATGGCAATTGCAGGTCTCAAGATCAGTAGATAATCTGCTACCTCTGTAGATGGCCTTACTTTCAATATGCGTACATAGATGTGCATTTTGTTGTAATGAACTTCTAGTAGCGAGACTTGTCCATCATTTTTAAATATTTTAAGTCTTATTCCTGATTCTAATGAGGTTTGTTATTTCCTATATAGTGCTTTAGTACAAGTTATCCCAAGTAAATAGCAGCTTCTAATGTTACAGGAAATGAACTTCTGTGCAATTGCATTAGTAATGGTAATTCAGAAAGAACCAAAACACAGGGAGTGTATAAGAGTTATGTTACACATTGTAACATAAAACTTTATGGTTTTACTTTCAAGGTAGAATAAAGGGTAACAAATGGTGGCACCTCCAAAGAGAATTGGGAGTTCCTTTTTGAAGTAAGTTTATCTGAAGTACTTTATATCTTCTCATGAACAACTGTCTGAATCAGATCATTCCATACTGATAAATATCTCCCCATCTGGAGATATTTATGAACTTAACCAAACGGGTTAAACGTGTTTGGGCAGATATTGTCAGGAGAGAGGAAGGAAGAAACACCACCACCACACACACGTGCACAAAAAAAATCCCAAACAAACAAACAAAAAACCCCTCACTGTACTGGCCAATACAAAAGCTTCCATTAGTAGCTCTTGGAAGTTATTAATGGAATATTGCCTGCTGTTCCGATGTCCCATCTTAAAAATTATATAGTAAAAATTAATGAGAAGGGTGTGAGAATTCCCTAGATATTAAAGGAATAACAAGTAGATTAGGATCCTTGAGCCTGAAAAGAGATTCAGACACTATTGGAGATGGGCTGTTGACTTGCTGGATCTTTCATTTGGGTCCCAATTGGCTGTTAAACATGAGGAAAAGTACTTCTAAGATTGATGTCACATAACAGTTTAGAGTTTTATATGACCATCTGTGTTAAGACTATTTTTGAGTAAACTTTTCTTACTGTATTATCTTCAGGATCTGTTGAAGACATGCCTCTTGAAGTTACTGCCTCAAAAAGCGGGGGAAGTGCTGCATTTATGGAAAGAGAATTCCCTACTCAAAGAAATAGGATTCTCTCATTGTGGAATAATCTCTGCAAGCACTGTGGACTCTATAAAATGGACACATGGAGCCATATCTCTGCCAAACACACCTATTTCAGTGTTGGACTGGATATGCTTTGAAATGGTGGAAAAAAACCCAACATAAAATCTCTTTAAGAAGTGAGAACTGAAAAAGAACTGAACCCAATTCCCAGAAAAATCTCTGCAGCTTGTCATATAGTTGTGTTTTTTAACTATTATTATTTTTAAAACCCTAGAAGGTTTGGATAAAAAGCTCTTGCACAATGAAAAGCTCTTGCACTGTTTTACCAAAGTCTGGAAGTTAAACTTACTGTGAATTTTTATAATGTCAGTGCAATACTTTTGTTTGTAAGGGTGCTTTTAAAACACCTATATTAAACTATTGATGCAAAGCTGCAAATGCAATAGAAGTTGTTTATAGTGTAAATACACAATTTACAGTGTCTCTTGTTAAGTTTCATTGTTATTTTGAAACAACCTGGAATTTGAGATTTTAGAATTAGACGAGTAAAATCAGCAATACTGGCACAACCAGTACAGTCTTTGTAGTTGCAGGTGATGTCATTTGATGACTCTTGCAAAAGGCATTTTTAGTCCAGTGATGTTGGGAATTATTCTCCTAATGCTGAAGCATTTGAAGGAAGGGACAAGACTAAAAGAAACTCAATTAACAAATACTCTGAGGTTTTATAAAATATTAACAAACAGTACCTGGAAAAAAGACTTATGTTAATGATACCTAAAATTCTTGTGTGGAGAAATTCCTCATGAGTTCTTCTGCTTTTGAACTAAGAGTCTGAGCCCACCACCAGCAAATTTCAATGTGCAATTGGTTTTATGCCACACCTTACTGAATACTAGAGGTGGCATTAAGGAAAATATTTACTAAGAACACTGTGGCTGTACTTCCTGGTGAACTCTTGAAATGTCTTTCAATGTTTTCTTGTAAATTACAGAAGTAACTTCTTTTCTATTCATATTCTCTTCTTAAAAGTTTTTGAAATGCTCTCAGTCTTTTCACAAGTTAAGAAGAACACTAAATTTGAAGGTCTGTAATGTGATTTCTTCTTTATTAACTGCAGTTTCTAGGAGGTGTATGCAATTGTTTCCTCCTTTTAATGGAACTGCAATGTGACACCATTGTGGTGCCACAATGGTCTGAATAAAAAAAAAACACACAAAGAAACCAAAAAAGCTCCTCCCTTAAAACCTGTAGATCAGTTTTCGCTCGCAAGATTTTTCTTTCATTTCATTGTTCTGAACAGATATAACTGCTTTTTCTGATTCCCTACGATTTCACTTGTAAAGTGAATTATGAGATACTAATCATTCCACTTATTAAATACTGTAGCAGCTATAAATTAAGCCAAACCTTTTGTGTGTAGCCATTCACATACTTAGTCTGGTGGAAATCAAAATTTTTCTGTTTGAGTGTTGCAATCATAATTACCGGAGTGAATTGAGCAGGGCTTTGCATTCATTGTAGGGTACAATGTAATTAATCTTAAATCGAGTACCTATACTTAATGATTGTTGCACAAGATGGTAGCTAGAATGCTGTTGCAAATTCACTCAAAAATCGTGTGGAGTCCAAACTTTTAGTAGTATGAACAGTATGTATGTTTTAAAAATGAAATACAGGAGCTGATCCATCAGTTAAGGAGGCTGTTGAGCATAGAGAAGCACCAGAATCTTACCGGGATTGTGTGTCTAAACAATGAGACAGAAAGTACTTGCTGTGGAGCAACAATACCTATTGTAAGTATTGTAACCATTTTGTTTTTGAAAATGTAAACCAGTCACTGTTTCATGAGATCAATTTGCCTTCTAAACAAGGAAGGCTAATACTAAATAGAAACTGGCAATGGAATTATTAGCAGTTAAACATTAACAAATATTTAACACCATTTTAGTCTCATGATATCTATCCTTATCAGCTGTAGCTGAAAGCAGCACAAAGTCCATTCAAAGAACTTTTACATTGTTGACTGGAAAGAAGTTCTTGTACATGTATAGAACTGCTTGCTGTTGTGTAAACACAGAGTTGTACAGCTAAAGCTAGAATTTGTTTAGACTTTAAGGGCAGTCCTATGCATTCTGTTTAAAAACACGGCCAAAATGACAAAGAACCAAACTCCATTTCCTGGAGTGTGAACACAAGAGTCTTTTGTATCTGGTTAAGCCTTAAAACCAGCTCAAAATGGCATCCTATACTCCACTAAAGGAATAACACCAACTTCCTAACTTCTAACTATGTGGATGGATTAAATGCTTATTAAACTCTTTAAACGTGGACTGCACCTAAAGAAAGTTTTCATGTGGTAATATTGTCTACTTAAATGGGAACATCTTCATCAGGGAGAGATTATATTATTATGAATGCCTACAAAAATCTGTTTGTGACTTTTGGGAGTGAGAGTTGCTGGAAGGGAGGTAATTATTACAGGAGCAGTTTGTGTAGAGAATAAGCCAAAGTGTTTAGCTGATTGAGAGGGTTAAGGTCAAATAATGTCACGTGTTGCTGGAACTAGTTTGTGTGAATTGGTGAAGTAAATGTTATGTATTCAACCAAAGTAAATTTTGAGGAGTTTGGATGTTACTGAAGAACTAAACAGGAAACGCATGTCCCTGTTCATACTTATCCAGGTAACTCTAACAGTAGTACTTGTGTGTGTGTATACAATGCTTTGAGAGGAAAACAGACCTAGCCTACAAGGAGAGGATGGAAGCATCCAGAAATCTCGCTTAAAGTTCCTGTGCCTCTGTTCTAGCAAATGTATAAATGCTTCCCAAGGTCAAATTCCGTTTTGTTTAGAGCAGATTCTTGGCCTTCTTTAGTCTCAACTAAAGTTGTTCGAATCATTTAGTTTATCCCTCCGAACTGCAGTGCTAGGTTTGAGTTGGAACCCCTGCACGTCCTGGCCGGCCGTGCCCTTGGTGTCATCTCTGCTGTCACCGCTCGGGGGGAGCTGCCCGCGGGATCGGGGAGCGCTTGCTTGTGCCAAAACTCGGCTTCGGATCGCTCCACCGTGGCGTTATGGATAAACCTGGAATTCGGCTTCCCTGCGCCCTGTTACCCTCCAGTGCTGGGGTCTGCTCCCACAGTGCCGTCCGTGGAGCTTCCCGCTGCTCCTGCCCAGCTCCATCCCCGCGCACCGGGGCGAGAAGAGCCCGCTCTGGACCCGTTCAGCTGTTCCAGCCGGGGCAGCGTCCCCTCGCCCGGGAAAGGAGGCACTTCAAAAAAGGTGCTCCCAGATGGACACCCGCTTTGTAGACCTCCACACTCGCAAGAGGAGGCGGCTGGTAGCAGACGGCAGAGATTTGCAAGAGTATAACGTGCATCTTCAAATGCGCATAGACTCCTTTAACTCCGTGCTTGAGGCTTATAAAGAGCAGCTGGGCTACAACTTCAGGGTGACAAACAGGAAGCAAATTGTGGATGCAAGATGTAAAATTCAGCAAGTGAGCAGTTATGTACAAGGCAAGACATGTATTTGGGTTCACCCTTGTGTTAGTTAATGATCCGGCTCACTCGGTCCGCCCGCACCACAGCGGGCGGGGGCAGAGCCGCGGCCGCTCCATCCCGGCGCTCCCTCCCGCCGCTCGGTGGAGCCGCTCCGTGTCCCGGCGCTCTGTGGAGCCGCTCTGTGTCCCTGCTCTCGGTGGTGCGAGGGGCGGAGCGCTCGGCGTTTCCGCCGCCCCGCGCTGCCTTTCCGCCGGGGAGCGGCATGTGGCGGGGCGGGGAGCGGCGCGGGCGGCGCGGGGCGCGGCGCCCCGGGCCCCGGTAGCGGCGGGCGCAGTGCCACCGCAAGGCAAGGGGGACACCGGGGGGGAGACCCTCGGGAGCGGGGCGAGGGGCTCCTCCTGCTGAGGAGGGGCCGGGGGGTGCGGGCGGTGCTCACGCCGTTCCCCGTCCCGCAGGCGCGGGGCCGTGGCCATGCTGGGAGGGGACGAGTTCATCAGCTCCCCGCCCAGGAAGACGGTGCGGTTCGGGGGGACCCTCACCGAGATCCTGCTCAAGTACGAGAAGGTGAGCGAGTGCGGCTCCGCAGGTGCTTCCCTTGCGTCCGGGCTACCCCCGCTGGGTCCTGGGGGGGTCATTCAGGGCGAAGAGTTGTTTCGCCTTACACAACGCCGTGTGTGAAGGCTTAGGGAAAAAACCTGAACGCGGTGGAAAGGTTTGCCCCGTGAGTCAGCCTGGGTGGGTGTAAAGCCGGGCTTATGCCAAAGGGTGCACGGGGATCCCAGCTGTGTCTGCAGGGAGAGCAGCTGAACGTGAGCCAACCCTCGCTGTCTTTCAGCACCCTGTTACTTGAGCTGTCTCTCCCTTGCTTGTGTTCTTAATGTACCTGCTCAGCAATAATAGGTTGTTCAAATATGTTGATGAAATGGGTATATTTTGCTGGAAAAAAATTGAATATTTTTGTTTCTCTTGCTAGGGTGATACCACAGATTTTGAGTTGTTGAAGCATCAGCTGTCAGATCCAGACATAAAGGTAAGAGTTTTCATAGTCAGGAGTCTGATGATTTAAAGTTCGTCTGTCTGAGTGTAATCATCAGACAGGTCATTCTGGTGCTTACACAAATCCTTTGCTTTAAACATTAGGTGCATTTGATAGCTTTTTGCTCTGTGGAAACTTTCAGAATTAAAACTCTTAAATGTGAAAAAAAGCAATTGTCTATTTATACACATACATATATGCAGGATCTCCATAAATGGTGTCTCATACTTAGTGACTCTTTGCTCTTGAGTGATAAACCTTTGAGTCTGTCCTTGTTCCAGATACCATCTTTCTGTCACTGATCCTTGATTTTAGAGCTACTTCTGTAGATCAAACCATGGTTTCTCACTTTAAGCTGCACCAAATTTTGCCTTCTGTTCTCACTAAGGACTTGTTGAATTAGGCAGTAACATACATATGCATTTAGTAGTTATACCCAGAAATATTGTTTCGCAGCCTTTCTGTACAGCGGCGAGTACCCACCACATTTGCTGTCCTTTTTTTTCCCCTTTTAATTAAACCACAAAACAGTGAACAGAGTGCTGCAGGAAGCACCATGCTATAGAGAGTTCCTTTTCTCTCTGAGAGGACATTCTGCAAAATGTTTTTAGCAGACCTTTTGGAGCATACAGGCAAAGTCAGCGGATTTGCTACTGTTTCAGTATCGTTTTAAGACTTGAATGTCCCTTCTGCTTAAACTAGAGGAAAAAAAAAGAAAAAGAAGATTGAATGCCATTTTTTTGAAGTATGTTCTGTGTGAGTGAGGTTTCATGCCTTGCTCAGTCTGCAGCTGAAGCCCTCCAGGCAGGCTGTTGGTTTAGGAGTCAGTTTGCACATATTCCTGCATTCAAGAACTTCCATTGGTGAGAACATGAAGAATTTCCTCACATATTAATGTGAAAACAATTTCTATTTACAATCTTAATGTTTGACTTTTAAGGATTTTGTTATTTTCTACTAATAGGTAATACTGTTTATTGGAATAGTTATCTGTTTTTTCTGCTTATTTTAAGGATGCCCAGATCATTAATTGGCTCCATGAATTTCGAACTTCCGTTGCGTATTTGACCAAAGAGCTTGAACAACTGGTCAACATTTTGCTGGTAAATATTGGTTTGCTACCTGGAAAGATTAAGAGTTTAGTACTCAAAACATCTTTCTCTGACATCTTGATCTTTGCTTACTTTCAGAAGCTGCCATGGTTGAGAAGGAGCCGAGAGGTAGTGGAAGAATATCTGGGTTTTCTTGGCAATCTGGTGTCAGCACAGACTGTCCATCTCAGGCCATGCCTCCGGATGATTGTGTCACAGTTTGTCCCCCGTAAGTTACTTTTCTCTTCTTTGTTTGCTTATCAGAATGTTTTCCCCAGATAAATTCTGTGTAAGTACAACATGACAATTAATTACTGAGTCATTGGGGTTTTTTTTCCTCTGTTCAATTGGGATACAGATAGTTTTCTGTACCTAGATTTTAGAAGGCATATTCTAGTGGCCAACACAGATCCTGTTCTGAAGAAGTCTTGGAAATAGATGAACTGTGTAATGTTATTCCTACTAAAATAAACTAACAGCTGCAGTGAGGATCGTGTCAGGTGTCCCCAAGAGCCTTCTGGTTCTCTGAATAAAACAGTCTTTTAGAAAGTCTTGTGGCTAATTTTTATGCTTTAGTCCTGATGGAGACTCTAGTGCAGTGTGTTTGGCATTGAACCTGTTACCTGTAAGATTTGTACAGTTTTGATCTAATAATCTCCCTTTTTGCTAGCTCGGATAACCATCAGAGAAGACGACGTGGACATTTCAGATTCTGATGATGATGATGAAAGTGAGTATAAAGGAAGCATGGCTTATATATGCTGCTGTAAAACCTTTACTGAATAAGTATACAGTATGTATTGCTCCTTTTTTACAAAATTGACTCAGCAGATATGAGTAAAACATCAAGAAACAGTACATCCTGAAATAACCAAGTCAAAGTCCTTCTTGTACTCAAGTCAGTGGTGTGCTGACCCACTCCTTGTTACTTTCAAAATATTCCTGTTGGTGCAGTATCTGTAGGAATAGAATATGTAGGAAAATATTCCCTATCCTAGATTGTTTCAAAGCCAAAGAATAGTTAGGAGTTGTTTGGATTCCATTTTATTTACCTCAATGTACATCCCCCCCCAAGGAACATTTTGGCAAATGTGGTTTCTTAGTTTTCTGTAAACAAATGCATAAGAATATTTTTTCTTCCTCTAGATGTTTCTGAAAACTTCGATACATGCCATAGAGCTTTGCAAACTGTTGCAAGATACGTTCCTTCGTAAGTATATAATCCCATGGCTTTGTATATCCCTTCCCTTGCAGATTTAAAGCTTCTGAACTGATGATTTTTTCCTCTCTTAGTGGGAAGTATACTACTTAGTTTTATTGCATGTTTTTTCCTAATATTCACTAATTGATGGAATGCTGTCATGGTAATAACCTGTGACTTCTGCATTTGATTTATTTATTTTTTTTAATTATAGGACACCGCAGTTTCTTATGCCAATACTGGTGGAATACTTTCCTTTCATTAATAAATCAGAAAGAACTCTGGTAAGAGCTGTGAATATTTTTGTCGACTTGTTAACTTGTTTTTTTAAATTTATAAATGTACTAAAATAGTATTACAACTGATTTGATGGCATTGAATGCAGATTTTTGAGAGTATTTTTGTATATATAAATATATATGTAATAACCATATATATATATGGTTGTGTCTGTTTAGTATAAGGTTGTCCAAGCATACTGAAGCTCCTTGTGCATAAGCATTATGCAAGTCTTTAATGACATAACTACCTATCTTTTCCACAGGATTGCTTTCTTAATCAGTGCACAGGATGGAGCTCTTTGAGGATGAGTCTCAGGGTTGTGTAGTCAGGAGATGGGTAGGACACCTGTCTCGTTTGTTATCAAAACTGGAGAGTGTTTGTCAGAGGAACAGGGGATTTGATAAGCAGACAGGAAGCAATGGGTGTTATGGGTGAAATCCAAACTGCCAGCAGTGTAGAGCCCTAAGCTGTTTTAGTACAGCTTTGGTTCAGTGCTTACGTGTGGTGAAAAACAAGCTGGAAACTTTTGACAGGGTATGGCTCTTGTGTCATCTTTACATTTACTTGTTCCAACTTGATATGTTGGCACTTGATGTTACAGGAAGGCAGAGCCCTGCTCCTCTAGCCAAGTTCAGTTGGAGCTGTGTTTTGAACACATCAGGTGCTGAAAAATCCCCAAAGTTCTTTGTGTATCTTGTTAGGTTTTTCATTTTTGTTGTTGTTTTAATCCAAATAACTTGAAGCATCAGTTCCTTGTCTCTAAAATGGGGGCATAATAGCTCTTATATGGTGTTAGGAGAAGATTTATTTACTTAGCAGCTCAATGAGGAACGAGTAATGAAAAAATGCATAACTATTTTCAGGGCAAGGCTTGAATGCAGTGTAATAAAAAATGGTCCATGCATTGTTAAATATTTCCAATTTACACATTCTCATTAAACTATCTCATTTTATGTACTGAGCAAGCCAGATGGCCTGTGGAAAAATCATATGTACTCATGTAATTAAAGGTTGTATTATAATGCATATTCACAAAGAGACTGTGGTGTACTTAAGTGTAGTGCTTTACCTGACTTTATGTACCAGCTTGACAGTTCTGCTGTATGAAAGTTGCAGCGTTGTCTTTTGTAGATATTTGTGTACACATGGGGGGCCCATGCACACTCACAAAACTTGTCTGTTAACCTGCTTGATTCATAGTCAGAAGGACTGAGGAGGCAGACCTGTGGAATTCAGAATTGTTGCTGGTATATTATAATAATCTGAAATAAAGATGTATTCGGTCTCACTTTAAGCAGTTCTAGTATAGCTGGTTCTGGATGTAGTGGGGAATAGGCTTCATTTTCCTGCAGAAAGTTTAGACAAACTCCTATAGAAATAACTTTCTTATAGAATATTCACACTCTATCTAGAGGTACTTGGGAAAATTTGCATGGCAGTAATAGATTAAGTAGTTAATTGAAAGTTGATGTTTATACATTAACTTATTCTAGATTGAATACAATCTGTTTAAAGCTATTTCTGGGTCTTTAGATAATAAATTAAGAAACTTGTTTTCTAAAAGTCCTTAGCAGAAATTAGGCTTTGTATTGACATTATTATAGATACCAATTAATTTTGTGTTACAGGAATGTTATGTTCATAACCTGCTACGAGTTACGGTGTACCTTCCAACTCTGAGGCTTCAAATTCTGGAGCTTATTGTTGAAAAGCTGCTAAAGTTGGATGTGAGTTTATTCTGTGTTACCTTTTGTGGATGCTTGGTGTTAAAATACAGAGTAGGAGATTAAATACACTTCAGTTTTAAGCTCGACAAAAAATCTGCTGCAGTAGTGCTTGTGATAATGGGTATAAAACCAGCCAAATTTATACTCCATTGCCAGCCTTAAGATGTTCCCTTAAGATTGGAACTGTATGGTGTGTCCTATGAGTCCCTGCTGGAATGTCCCTGCCAGAGTCAAAACAACTGCTTTGTGGTGATCAGTGCTGATATGCAGAGAATGTGCTTCTCTTTGTGTGGTTGAGTGATCATATCATCTCTTTGAAGTAAAAGGATTTACCATCTTAAAAAAGGCAGGAGGGGTAGCTCTGTAAATGATCAAGGCTTTTTACCTCAGCATACAAACAGTTTGGGGAGAGCTTATATTTGGCAGGTAAAGTTTCAGAGAGCTTTGGAGTGTGCATTTGTGTATGGCATATCATTTCCTTTTAAAATGTTTATTTAGTCCAGGACAAAATCTAGTCAAGAACTTACTCATGTTGTCATTTCCTTTATATGAATAATAATAAAAAAAATGTTTCATATTATTATGGTTAAATAAAAATTATTTTCTTGTTTACAACTGTAGGTTAGCACTCCACAGCAAGATATTGAAGATGCTGAAGAAACTGCTAATAACTCTGGTAGCGAGGAGAAATCTACAGAGGAGGGACTTTTTGACATGGTTGGTTATCTTGTTCTACCAAAATTTTGGTTTTCTCTAGTAAAATTTTCACTTCTGAGGTGGCTGTGAACTAAGTGTAGGAATTCATTATTGCTTTGTTGTTACTGCACTGCACACAGCTCTTGAAACCTGAACAGATAACAAATGATTAATGCGTTCTCAGCTATTGACTTTATTCATGTAAATACCCAGTGTACATGCAGTGAATCGATTTCATTATGTAAAAGCACAAGCAGCTCTGCATAAAGCTAGTTAAAGAATTCACGTTGCTTGGCTTAGTTCACAAAGATTTGCTCATACTGTGTAATTAGATACTACTCTTCTAAGAAAAATTTGAAACTTTAGCATATCGCTGAAAGAACTTTTGTTTCACTTTTCCTGTAATTGCATCCTCTGATGTTGTGCATATAAAAGCTGCTTGTGCCATTTATATCTACCAGGAGGAAGATGAAGAAAGAAAAGGAAACAAAGTTGTCTCTTCCAGTAGTGAGAGAATGGCCCATCCCCTGGCAGAGCGCCTCGACATCCTGATGACCATCCTGTTTTCCTACATTAAAGATGTTTGCTATGTGGATGGTAAGAACACTTGCACTATACCCAAATTTATTGTTTTGCTAACAAGTAAGAACACAAATGAGGAGTTCTTACTTTCTGCTACTGTAGGATAGAGCAGAATTCTGCCAGCAGTGGGCTCTACGCCACATTCCTGCCTCTGCCCAGTGTTACTGCGAGAGGTACAGTTATGACTTTAAAGGTTTAGTCCTCAGTTGGAGACATTCCAATTCCATAAATATGATACTGTATCCAAACTGTGACAGGGTATAAGTGTTTTATCATCTGCTCTACTTGAGTGCCAGAATTATGGATCCTTTCAACAGTACAAGGACTGGAAGCAAATCAAAACAACCAGACACGTCACTCAGTCAGAATTGCTACAGCAAGGCTTTGTGTTAGGGGAAAAAAATGAAAGAATTGTCTTATACTGGTATGTATTAAGGGCTTGACTTCATTAGATTTATATATCTAAAACAGAATATTTAGAAACCATTTTACTGTATCTTCTCCACGTAAGTCAGATGATTTATTTCTTAGTAGTTTTTTTTTCTGGCTCTTCTGAATTAACATATTATTGCAAAATTCGCATGTCTACCAGTTTTATACGTGTGTGCACACAGAGCTATTCTTCATATACAACACCTTAAAAAGCAGTAGAACTGAAGACCTGGGAAGTCTTACTATAAGTATTTTTTACATGTCAGATAAGCTGAAAAGTCAGTTTGACAGTGTTTCTTTACGTACTTCTTAATGGTGTAAAAAGATATAAATACCACTTTTGCAGCACGAGGTTAGGAAAAACCCCTGAAATGTCTCATTTTGTTCTGTTTCTTTGTTGTGTAGGCAAACTCAATATCAGCAACACAAAGGACTTGTATCGGGATCTGGTTTCTGTTTTTGACAAGCTCATTTTACCAACCCATGCTTCATGTCACGTGCAGTATTTCATGTTTTACATCTGCAGCTTTAAATTGGTGAGTAAAAGCTGGTTTTAAAATGCAGTGTCCTCTGTCATTTCTGCATCCTTGTTTTGGCTTTTTTTTTACATAAAATAATTGTTTTCTGCTGTAATTCCAGTCTGAAGATAGCAAGTTGATGAGGATCATTAGCATCTTTGTTTTCTTTTCCTTCTCTGTTACTTCATTCCTGAAGTTTCTCTTTCTGCTTTTGCTCTTCCTGTGTTGTTCATAAACTGCACACAGATGGAATCTAAGCAAATGTGGTTAAAATGGACCTCTTTTACAAGAGTGAGTTTGGCTTCTGCACCCAAGGCATGGTGCTCCAGCACATTTCTTCAGCATCTCAAAAGTCTCTTAAAGATAACTGTCCTGTTAGATCTGATATTTGAAAATCGTGTCTGCTGTTTGTTGTTTCCCCCCTCATTTTCCCATCTCTGTCAACAAACTGTTTTTCTTTCTTTTACACATAAAAATAAGAACACACATGCTCTTTGCATGAAAGTAGCTAAAAGGCCAGTTAAGCTACTGCCCTGTCTCTGATGGTGGTAACATTTGGACAAATTCAAGGAGAAAGTATCTCATGATATTATGCTTTTTGTAAGGATGTGAATTTTTGGCATCATGTACTTGTGTGGCAAAAAAGTTCCACAATATAACATTTAAGATTAAGAATCACTTTTGTTCTCTAAATTCTTTTTCCTGCTATTTTCCTTGGATGTCCCTGACTGCTTCTGCTACAAGACTTGGTGAACAATCATTTCACGTTTACCTTTTTATCACACTTGCTTTTAAACACTTCTGGTGTATCTTTTCCCGATTCTTTCCTAGACTTCATCCCCTTGCTTTTTACAACTGAGTATTATAGAAAGAGACACAGAAGTGAGTGCTCTTCCACCATGTATAGGAATTGTTATTTATTACAGTTACAGGTAGGTTTTTTTAATGATTTGGTTATAGAATATATAGAAATTGAGTATTAGGAATCTATTACTTAAATAGTGTTATCAGTATAACAACTCACAATTTCTATGTATCTTTTTTCAGGGGTTGGCTGAGGCCTTTTTAGACCATCTTTGGAAAAAACTGCAGGATCCAAACAATCCTTCAGTGATCAGGCAGACTGCTGGGAGTTACATTGGCAGCTTCTTGGCAAGAGCTAAATTTATTCCAGTTGTGTAAGTTGTTTTGATACATGAGCAGAACCAAACATTTTGTGCTGATTGCTGAGCAGAATTCACAGAATGCACACACAGTGTTGTCTGCTATTCCCACTGCTTTGCCAGTAAGCCTGAATCAAGGAGCTTGTGTGTCCTTTCAGCAATAATGTTTCAGTATTGGTTTGAAGTTTCCTGGGAAGTTTTGCATCTACAGGATGTAGACTAATGATTGCTGGGATTCATGGCTTACTCTTTAAGGCTTCACTTACCAAGAAGTGCTGAGCATGGGCAGGTTGTGTTGACTTCAGGCAGGGCCATGGATTCCTGGTGTATCTGATGTTCAGAAGCAGGTATTTTTAGTGCCCAATATTTGGCATTTTATATAGACTCTGGGACAGAAAACTAGTGTTCTAGTATTTTAATACAGGTGTATTAAAATATTCAAGCAGATTGGTGAAAATGAATTTTTTTTTGTGGGTGGGCACAGTGACTTTAACATTGAAGTTAGTTGGATTTTGGAATTACCTAATGGACAATGAGATCCTTGAATACTTGTTTAACAGCTTTTCTGCACCATTTCAGGGAATGTCTTTACACTTCTTTTTTCTCCCTTCCTCCATTGTAGCACAGTAAAAGCATGTCTGGATCTTCTAGTGAACTGGATGCATAAATACATTGATAATCAGGATACAGGAGCTAATGCTTACTGTGATGTAGCTCTCCATGGGCCATTTTATTCTACATGTCAGGCTGTGTTCTATACACTTATTTTCCGTCATAAACAACTTTTGGATGGAAACTTAAGGAAAGGTGAGTATATTCGATTTTAAAGGATTCATTTGCAAGTTTTACTGTTGATGTGTTTTGTAATGGTCAGTTCAGTCAAGTATCTGATGGCAAATTTATGCTGTTGTGCTCTTAGGCAAATGATATGGCTTGTACATGTGTTGGGCTACCAAGCTAAATGATCTTTTCCCCCCCTTCTATTGAAAACAATGCTGATAACTGTAGAAAACCACCATGGGCTTCAGTTAATAATCTTCTAATGGGTGCTTCTAATGGGTGTGCAAATTTAGTGTGTGTCTTAGGAGGATCCCTCATGTGTGGCAGGTTATTGTTATTAGAGTGACTTCTCTGCTGAACAAGCTGTGGGCCAGATCTCCACTGGCAGAGAGTGTCCTAGGATGTGCTTCTGCGGTGTTGTGCAGGGTGCAGGCTTGTCACACTGGAAATTATTAGAAATTAAGTTCAGCTTGTATGATATTATTAACCTGTATTTGTCACTTGTTCTTATTTTCAAGGTCTGTCATATCTGCAGAGTTTAAATTTCGAGCGCATTGTCATGTGTCAGCTCAACCCCCTGAAGATTTGTATCCCTTCTGTTGTCAACTTGTTTGCTGCTATTACCAGGTACCTTCTCACTTATTTCAGTTTCAGCTTCAGATCTTGGTGTGTATCTGAAACCAGCACAGTACTAGAACATGGGTTTTGATAGGCACAGTACTGAATATTATCTAAGACATGGACACATGCCCATGTTCCAGGTGTGATAAGTTTATTTCTGGTTCAGTTTTAATGAAAGCCTGCAGCACTGTGATTGCCTTGTGTTGGAGCCAGTGTGATTCTACTCAGAGTAAAGTTGATATGAGTATAGAGGAAGAGAGAACAGGCTCCTTACCTTGTGACTGTCTTGAAAACTCCTAGTATCAGCTGGAAAATGGAAGATAGAAGTGATGTTTGTTAAAAAATAACTTCGTATTTTAATACCATCTGAAATCCTTGCTTTAGGTGTTCTAGAAGTGCTTACCTTTTCTTTATTACCTTTTTTAAAGGAAATACCAGCTGGTGTTCTGCTACACCATTATTGAGAGGAACAACAGGCAGTTCATCCCAGTTGTTCGGAGCGGCACCGGAGGTGACCTTGTGCAGACATGCACTAACCCACTGGACAGCTTCTTCCCCTTCGATCCCTACATCCTCAAAAGGTATGGTTTAAAGATAAACAACTTGTTTCTGCCTTGTAGGAAATAATGAATAAAAACTGTAGGAACCTGTCAGTGTTTCTGCAGTTCACTTTCCTCACTGATCTTTCTTTAGTACTTCTCATGTTACGTATTTTAACCAGAGATGGTCAAAGGTTTGAATTGAAATGTACCCCTCCTGTGACAGATAGCAGTGAAGAAGGAACAGGATCCAGTTTCCTGGAAGGTCTAGTTAATATGTTTGGTGATTTTTGGTTTTTCTTTGTTGTAAGCAGCCTCTAAAATGTCATGTTTGCCTAAATCATGTTTTGTCGGAACCATGGTGGTGATGTGTCCTTTTTTTGTCATTTGGTTTTAGGTTTTTTGCACTGTCAATATATTGCTGCTTGATTGGTGACTTCACCTTATTTAAAATACCTTTCTTTTTATGGTAGAGGGCAACATTCTGGCTTTTTATTGTCTCTTAAAAAACAAATCCATCTCCACAGAAGGGAGACTACTAATAGTATTAAGATTCATATAAAAACAAAAGTTGTTTCTACAATATTTAAAATTTTGGAAGAAAATCACAATTTTTTTGCGAGCACAGTGCAGCTGTCAAAAATACCCAGTTAGGAGTTAGGAGACATGACTGTACCAGAAGTCCTCGAGCAAACCTTTGTGATTTATACCTATCAGCAAAATGGAGGTATTTTTTCATGGGATTAATTGAGGATTAGATAGGGATTAATTGAGTAGTTTGTAAAATCCTAGAGAGGGCTATCAAAATGTCAAAGCATTTTATATTGTATTATTAAAATGAAATATATATAACTTCTACTGAATATATTAACTCATTCTGTGTTTTGATTCCTCTCTCAGATCGAAGAAGACCATTGATCCTCTTTATCAGTTCTGGGAAGAGCTGAGTGCTGAAGATCTTGAGAATCTAAAGAAACCCATTAAAAAGGTAATCTTTCTAATCTTTCCTGGTGAAAACACAGTTTAGCTTTTTCCAAATCTCTACCAGCTTCTTCTATTGCAGGATTATTTTTTTTTTAAAGTAGGTATGAATACACTAAACCGTGATTGAAATTTGGAAGCTTTAGGAATTGATCTGAGCACTTTTCCCCTCTTCTGCAGCACAGGACCCCTGTGAAAGCTTTATGAACACTCTCAGAATATGGACACAATGATGTCACTGGAAAATCCACTCTAGATGTGATTTAGTTCCCATATTTCATAATGAGAGTACATCTAATTCTGTTACCATTCTAATTAGTCATGACAATCGTAGTGTAAATCCAGGTCTCTTAAGATTTGACAGTATCTTTCTACTCTCACTGATCCTTTTAAATTTATTTAGGGTACTTCCGAAGATGAAGATGATGACTTCTTGAAAGGAGAAACCCCTCAAAATGATGGTGTGGTTGGAATTGCTCCAAATTCCTATGAGTCCAGCACCCGGAGCCCCGTGAGCAGCATTGGCTCCCCTCCAGACTGTTACGTGCCGTTCCCTCAGTGACACGGGGCATCAGAAGTGAGAAGGCTGAAAACTTGTGTGCAATGTTTCACTCTTTACAGAGACTTTAGCTCAAATTTCCAAACTGGCAAATGTTTTAAGTAACTACATTTGAGAAAAATTATTGTTTCTTAATCATCAGATTTCTACAGATATGTTATAGTAGAGTCATACGTTGCTAGAAAAGCTTAGAGAATAAATAGGGTGATATTTTGCAAATTTCACATTGAAATGGTTTTTATGACTTAGAAGGGATTTTTTTTTTATAGTTTTTCCTGACTCTTAAAAACTTTGTTTACTAATGTTTCTCTACAAGGTTTTATATATTAGAGGTGAAATTCTGGTATTTCTTCCTGCTGATTTGTGTGGGGGCCAGAATTCTCCTGTCAGTGTTCAGACTCTACTCTGATGACTCTTCTTGAGTTGGTTTCAAAGTAAAGGTGTGATCCCTTGATAGGCAGGCCAGGAACCAGTCTGACAGTGGTTCTTCTACACACAGCTCTTAGGCTTTTCCTGTCTATAGAACAGTACTTGGTGGAGCCACTTGATAGTGGAGTGTACTCAGACATTAAGCACTAATGTTCCTTAAATCTGTAGCTGACACGCACCTTTCCCAGCTATGAAAGTTCAGACATGTAAAAGTGATGATTGTTGGAAGTGTTGAAAATGAGGGGGTAGCTGAATGTATTATTTGTAGATAGTTTTCTCTGGAGTGCTTATGAAGCACTATGAGACAGGTATTTATTTGCAGGATTTGAAGTTTATATGTGAATGCTGAAAATAGGAAAAAAAAAATCTTCCCTTGTGGAAAGAAAGTGATGGTGTCAGTGGTGTCCTTGTGTTGTCCATGTGTCCAGTCACTGTTGAGTTTCTCTACTGAAGTTTCTTGTCTTTTCATGGTTGCTGGCTTTTAGATTTGAGTAAAAATATAAACAGTGGGGAAAAAATGTTATTTGTGTAACATTTAGTTGAACATTTTATGCATTTGGACTGAACTCTAATTGCCCTTCTTTAGAATCTGAACTTGGAGGCTTTCAAGACAACATTTTTATTTGGAGCCAATAAAGAGTGATGCCAACAGTGCAATACTTACACATTCGAGAAAACCCCATTTCTGTATGTAACTGAGGTGCTCTCTGTGTAGCCTGGCTTCTCAAAGCCAGGGTGTTAGTTCTGACAGACTGCAGAAATGAGTTCTGGGGATGACATTGCAAAGTGCATCAGTGAATCTGTTCATCATTGTATAAACTGAGTTTTTGTGTTTAATTTTAGTCCTCTTTATTGTCAGTCCTGAGTAATAAACAATAGATTTCCATCTGAAATAATTGCATTTTCTCCTGGCATGCAAGAACCCTTCTGAGATCAACAGCAAGAAAAACATCATTTCAAATATGCCTTTCAGCTGCTTCTTCCAAAATGAGGCTAAAACTTCTGCAGTTTTAATACCAGGTATGTGATTCAGGAGCTTCCATGTCTCATTAGAACAACAAAAAAAATCCCTGTAAGTATAGCATTAAAAAGTATGCAGACATTGAACTGTCTGTACTGAAGTTGCACAGTTTTCACTTGTTGAAGTGTTTCTGGACCCTCAGCTGTGCCAGCTCTGCTTTGCTCAGTGTAAGTGCAGGCAGGTGTGCTGGCAGGTGCTGGCATTTTGCTAAAGAGACTTTGTAAGTGAGAGGAATGCTGATTTGGAGATGGAATTTTGTGTCACCTGATTCAGTGTACCTTTTGAAGAAAGCGTCTGCTACAGAATCATTGAATGGCCTGGGTTGAAAGGGACCTTAAAGATCATTTAGTTCCAACCCCCTGCCATGGGCAGGGACACTTTTCAGTAGACCAGGTTGCTCCAGCCTGGCCTGGAACACTTCCAGGGACAGTTTACTTTTGTGAAAATGGATGGAGAGGTCGAGCTGGGGTCCTGGGGGTTTTCCGTGGGTTGTGGACAGTCCTGGTACCTGGCTGTCCACTCTCCCTGCAGGGTGAATTAACTCTGCTGCTACCACGGTGATCTTTCTTGCTGTCTTACACAGACAACTGGAGGAAAAATCCCTGGTCTTAAAGGAAAAATGGTCGTCTTTGGGATTGTCTGAAAACCCAATTTTGTGTTTGCTGGAGTGGAGGATGCTGGTGTGGGGGTCGGTCTCTTCTCCCAGTCAACTGTGATAGGACAAGAGGACAGTCTTAAGCTGCGTCAGGGGAGTTTTAGATTGGACATTGGGAAGAATTTCTTCACAGAGAGGGCGATTAGACATTGAATGGGCTGAGCCGGGAGGAGGTGGAGTCACCGTCCCTGGAGACGTTCAAGGAAAGACTGGACGTGGCACCGAGTGCCATGGCCTGGCTGACACGGTGGGGGTCGGTCAGAGGTCGGACTCGGCGATCTCAGAGGTCTTTTCCAACCTAATTGATTCTACGATTTGTGAATTCGGGGCTTTATCGCTGTTATTTCCAAACCGGTTTCATGCCATAACCTACGGGTGACCCCGCAGTGACGGGAGAAGGGGCGGATTTCTGCGAGGTTACCGGGTTAAATCTTCAGGCGGGGCCGAGCCCGGGCGCGTTTCCGTGTTCGCCTCAGGCCCCGCCGAGCCCCGGGCGGTGCCGGGGCCGAGCTCTGAGGCGGTCCCTGCCGAGCCCCGGTCCCTGCCGGGCCCCGGGCGGTGCCGGTGCCGCCGCCCCGCTTTCCCAGCGCCCCGCGCGGCGCCGCCCGGCCCGGCCCGGTGCGGCCTCGGGAGGGAGCACGGAGCCGCCTCCGGGCCCGGGCCCGGCGCTCGCCGAGATGCCGCTGCTGGTGAACGGAGCGCGGGTGGACCTGTCCCGGCCCACGGGGGACATGATCCGCGCACACCCGCACCTCGAGGTGAGCGAAGGGGCCCCGCGGCGCTGCCCGGGGCGTGAACCCGCGGTCGCGGCGGGGCGGGGGCGGCCCCGGGCACCGCTGTGACAACACGGGGGGACCGAAATAAATAAAATCGGTGTCCCCGGGAGGGGCTCGGCGGTGACCGCCCGGGTGCGAGCGGAGCGGCCGGGCTGGGGCTGCCTCGGCCGGGCCCGGTCTGCCCGAAATAACAAAAACTGGCGATAAAAGCACAAGGTGGTCACTGTCGGAAAGGTGCTAACCTCGCTTTCAGTGTATAAATATTATATATATGTTACTATCCAAGCGGCGGACTGCCAGCCAGGAATGCTGAGCAGAGCTGGTTGGGAGGGTGTTTCCCATTAGAAGGTGTTTCTTCGTAGAACCTGAATTTATGCAGAAAACCAGGGCAAATCTGATAGGACTGTGAGGTGTTTTTTGAACCCCCGGGGTGGAAATCCGCTTCCTGCCCAGCGGGTCTATGGTGAAGCACTGCGGTAGTCATAGCCCAGGAATCTGGGTTTTCCCTGCACCAGGCAAGCTAATAGACAGCGATATTTTGATAAGTGTTAAGTAAATGTTATGGATTGTGGCAGTAGAAGGCTGAAACTTCTACATTTCCAAAGTTTCTTGTCCTGATTAAACTTCCAAGATCAGCTCTGGTGTTGTCTCTTGTATAATCTTTGCCAAGTGCAAATGCTTTTTGTTGTGCCTCCATTTTATGGTCTCTAAAACAGGGAAAAGTGTTTTGTGTGTCTCTGGAATGATGGGATTTAACTATTAACTTGATCAGTGACAGGTAAGCAAAAACTTCTCAAAATTCAGGATACTCCATAATCCAAAATACGCGTTTCCCTCTGACCTGAGTCCCTTTGCTTTTCAGAGGTGATGTTTCTGTCAAGCAATGCATACGTCTGAGAATTCAGCCACTGTAGTCTCTGTTACCATTTATCTTTAGGAAAAGGCAAAGCTTCTGAGAAGTCAGCCTGCTCAGACTGTGGAACCCAAAGGCCTCCTCTATGTCCAGCAGAGAGAGTTTGCAGTGACCACTCCCAAAGATGGTGTGTAGGAACATAAACATTTGCTCTTCTACTGAAGTAGTGATTGTGTGAAGGGAGTTCTTATGGTGTTTCTCTCCTTTAAAATAGGTTCTGTTTCTATTCTTGGATCAGATGATGCAACTACCTGCCACATAGTTGTGCTCCGACACACAGGTATCCTTAAAGGACGTTCAGAACAAAACCTGTCCCCCTGAAGTAAGGAATTAGTATTGGTTTATGTGGCATTAATAAAATAAACTGCAGTTACATTTGTGTAAACCTGAATCTCCAAAAGTCACACAAGTATTAACTAAACGACTTGTTCGAAGAGGGGTTGTGTTTGATGTCAGAGGCTCAGCGCTGTGGTTGCTCAGTGAGCAGATGTTTAACCTGCTCTGCCCCTGTGGCCATTGGCAGTGGCACTGCAGCCCTGGGCTGTGCTCAGCAGTGTGGGAGCGTGGGTTTTGGAAATTATGGAGGTGGGATTTGTGGGAAGATCCTCATTACGTGCCTGACATTAGAGATGTTGCCTGGTCCTGCTTAAGAGGGCACTTGTACCCCTGACATGAGCTGTGCTTCTACAATGGACACGTGCAGAGGCTGTTGCCTCATCCAGTGAGCCCGTGTCCTCTGCCAGAGGCTGCTGTCCCTAGAGGAAGGCAGGTGGTGGTGGGTGCAGCTCTTACCTTACTGCAGCAGGGTAATGTGTTACTGTTAACAAAATAGTCACTAAGTCACTGTCTTCTGGTGCCTTCCCCAGGCAGCGGAGCCACCTGCCTGACACACTGCGACGGGTCGGACACTGAGGCCGAGGTGTCGCTCATCATGAGTTCAGTAAAGTCTCTCTCAAACACCACGGGCTGTGGCAGGTCAGCTCTGCTCCTTTCTTGTGTACTGCTTTGCACAAAGGCTGCTGCAGCTTATACAGCGGGGAATTTTTGTGTGATTATATGGGGTTCAGGCAAGGTCACTGTGCAGGAAACTTCTCTTGATCAGCAACCGCAAGTAAAGTGAAAATGATTTCCTTGGTGATGATTTTGGGGCTGTTTTTAGCAGTCCTTTAAAGCACGGTTCTATTCTGAATGGTGTCTCTGTAAAATCACTGTGACGTTTGTGTTTACTGTTTCCCAGTTAATTTTTGTTTCAGATGTGCAAAATTTTCCAAATAACTGTTTAGTTTATATTTTTTCTTCCAGAGTGTTAATTTTGTAAATTCTTTTTGATATCTGAGAATCCATCTGGGATTTTTTTAAGTCCACGTTAAAAAAAAAAAAGGAAAAAAGAGGTGTGTGGGACAGGACAATGGGTAAAAAGCTCTGAAATAGAATTTAGCAAACAAGATTCTTTGTGGATATGCAGGTTTTTGACCCTGCAGTTTGGTGAGAACAAAAACGAAATGAACTTAGAAGATGTGATCTCTAAAACTCATGATTTGTAAGGATTTGTCTTTACACAGACACTTCTCGGAGAAGAACCCTGCTGCATGGTCCAGAATAGTTGTGAGGAGGTCATGGGAACAAAAATCTTCATGTTTAGTTAACCCTTTTTGGGAACTGAAAGGTGGTTACAAAGTCCCATCCAAACCAGAGGTGCTGACCATCAGAGATACCCCTGGGTTAGAATTGCATGTATGTAATGCCTCTTAAAGCTTTTGTTCTGTGCCATTTCCTTATGATCCCTCAGGTGTTGAGAATGGAGTTACCATAACCTGCTGTGTAATGCAAACCAGCTTGGTGCATGTGATTGTAATAAGGCTTCTCTAATGATTGCTTTGCAGTTTGGGCTGGGGATTATTTTGTAAAGCTATTCATTTTGAGATGTCTTTTTAATTGCTGTTTCCTGTTATTCCATCTCTGTTAGGCTGGAAGTGCACCTAGTTGGAGGTTTCAATGATGATAGGCAGTTATCACAAAAACTTACTAATCAGCTTCTTAGTAAGTTCACTTTTTTTCCACTCTCATGTCCAAAAACAATAGTTCTGGCTGGATGTGGGTAAAGTTTGTTTGTCATCTGAGTCTCCAGTCATTTACTGGAAAGAAACGTGGATTTGTTTTGAAGGGTGTTTTTCTGTGCCTGAGAACTTGGTGTGGAGAGGGGTTGGGCTGCTGGGGCTGCTCCATGGGCAGTGTGTGGGATGCAGGGTCTGAACCTGTCATTTTCCCCTGGCTCATATTCCGCTGTGGAGATTTGGGGGGACAGTTCAGCTGGGCTTGACTCCTGGCTTGACTCCTGATCCACTGTGTGATCTTGGGCAAGTGGTGACACTCTCCAAATCTGTGCATGTGGGTGACTTCATTAATTAACATTCAGTTCATACCTTAATGGGATGAGGTAAAATTTAATTATTGTTTGGAATTGCCTGATGAAAAATGTCATCTCTGTTTATAAAATCCATAGTGCAGAGCAGTTATGGCACTGCTTTACTAACAAATTGGAAACATAAAGTACCTGCCTACCTGCAAGGGCTCTGCCCTGTGCTGAGCACTTTGAGTGTGGAGAGGCTTCGGCCCCACTGGAATGGGGAGGGAGGAGGGATAGGGCAGGTGTCAGGGTTGGAGGGAGGTGTTTAAGGGGATAAAACAAAAAGGAAAATGGAACCAGCAAAAGCCCTGAGCTGCAGCCTCATGGCTGTTACACCTGGTCTATGTTATATGAGAGTTCTGTACAGGAAAAGGTATTTTGGTTAACTTATTTTTTCAACCTTCTGATTCTCATGCATCAAGTTACAATTTGAATCAATCATGTTATATTGCTGTCAGAACTTAGAAAAAAAGAGGAATTTTTTCTTGGTGTTTAAGATGTGAAAGGCAGATTTAATTTACACCTAGTGAAAGACTAAGTTTGCTCACTATATATGTAAAATTTTAGGAAAAAACATTTAAATATAAGCTGCTTAATGTATATAGTGAACTAAATCAGAGCTGGTGTGATACCAGAGCTAAACCAGTGTCACTAAAAGCAGTGAGTGGCACAACACTGTTTTTAGCACGTTTTTGCTATTACAAATGGCTCCTCTCTGTAAATTGCTGTTAGTTTGAAGCAAACATGCAAAAGGCTGTTTGCTGTGCCCTCCCCAGGAGCAGTGGTTTAGGTGTGTGCCCACCCCTGCAGTGCCCACCCAGCCCTGCCCTGCCACCCTCACTCACACGTTGCGCTGTCCTTGTTGCCGTAGGAGCGTTTGATCTCCAGCCAGATGATGTTCACTTAGTGACCTTCTGTGTAACAGGTAAGAAAATCTTTCCTTGGGTTTTGAAGTACCCTTAGCTACTGAAATCAAAGGGCAGGGGTCTTTTCATGGCTTTTTATCCGTCGTGTAAGACAGAACAGCACAAGTCCTCCATAACCGTTTGTAATTGTTAGTTTTCTTGTGATCGATGTGTGTGGTGATGGCAGAGAGCCAGTGCAGCAGAATTCTCTCCTTATCAAGTTCTGCTGGACTGCAACCAATAGCAGAGCCACTCGTGATCCTGGCCAGGTTATTTTGGCTCATTTGCCCTGTGGAACAGGCTCTGTACCTGTGGAGATCTTATGAGACAATTGAGAAGGGCATTTGCAGACCTTTGCTCTGCTGGGCTGCTGGACCTGCCTCCCTGCAGGGTCCAGTGAAGTCATTAACTCTTTCAGTTAGTTCATAGTGTGTGATGTCACTTAGAGGAAGTTATTTCCTTTCCTTTATATCATGTTGAGATCATATTTCCATCCTCTTTCCATGACAGTGTTGTTGGTGACTTACATCTTTGAAACCTGGCATCGTGGTCATTTTGCATTGTGTTTTTTTCCCTCTAAATTGCCCATGCAGAAGTGGGGGGCAGTTGGCTGGAGCCAGCTGTTCTGTTTGGAGACAGCTCTGCTCCAGGCCCCAAGCAGACCTGCACCTTCTTTTCCATATTTCTTTTAGGCTTCCTAGGTTTTTTCTATCTTTACAACATCAGATCTGTTGTATGTTATCAGAGAACAACTAAACGAATGCTGCTCACAGAAAAATCCAAAGTCCTACTAGTTGATTTCTTTTTTTTTCTTACAGAACTAAATGATAGAGAAGAACAGGATATTCACTTTCCAATCATTTATGGAATAGGTGAGTAAATTAGAATTTAATTATATTTTTGTAACTGGATGGCTTTTCAGATTCCAATGGTAAATGGGCTCATAGTTAATGACTGGCTGAAGTCCATCCTAAAAGTTACAAGCTGCTGTCAGAGGTGAAGGTAGAAATACTTGTCTTGTGGTACCACAGTTGCACATGTAGGAGGGGCTGTGTACAAAGGCAAGCAGATTTTTTTTCCTTTAACTGCACTTATGATTTTATCAATATCAAGCTACTGCACTTAATTTCTGCTTAGAATTCAACCTTCTTATTGATTATTCAGTGTTTCTTCTAATTAGTTCACGCATCTGTGGAATATTGAAATGCTGTCAAAGGAAATGGAGTAGAAAGGTGCTATTGCAGGCTCAGGGGTCTGAGAAATACAACCGAGTGTGATGGGTTCTGAAGTTCTGCAACACAGTTGTGTTGGGGACATGGTCACTGTAAACAAGTGCCTTGCAGGAATTAATTGTTTCAGTATTTAATCTCTTTCCTCCCAGCTGTGAATGTTAAAACAGCAGAGATTTTCCCTGCAACCTTCCCAGAAAAAGGGCCGGATGAGGATTTGCGTTCAGCCCATGTTTTAACAGGAGCACCAGTGAGTAAAAATAATGGGGGGGGAAAACGGTATTTTTGTCAGAAGGGGAGACCAGTTGGGACAATGAAATATCCAAAGTTTGAGGAAACAAAATCCTTTGGTAGCATTCTCTGGGTTCTGGGTTTGCTGTTACTGTTTAATGTCATGTTTGTCAGAACTGGTTCAAGGAAGGGCTGAGCTGGCCCACGGTCAGTCTGGGGCAGGAGCTGAGCCCAAGGCCCTCAGACCAAGGGAACGTGCTCTTTGCCAGTGTGAGCCCTGTCTGACCCTGCAGGCTCCCTGTGTTCTTACAGCTCACCAACATCTACGATGCAAAGACGGAACAGCTCCGTATTGGGCCTTATTTCTGGGGACCTTTCCCACACGTGGACTTCTGGTTGGAACAGGATGATGCCCAGATTTTACAGGTACCTGAAACTGAGCTTTTTTTTTTCCCCTTCTGGCTGAGTAGAGAGGAGGGGACGCAGTCTGTCAGAACTTCTTCCAGTGCACTGCTGGCCCCGGGAGGGTGGGGAATATCCTTATTGGAAGGCAGGATCTGGAGAACATTGTGCTCTGAATATCAAGCAGCTCTTGCTCTCATCTTCTTTTTCAGAATCTTTCCACGTCGCCCCTGGCTGAGCCACCCCACTTCGTTTCCCACATCCGATCTACGTTAACATTTCTCAAAGCACATCCCTTTCCATCTCGGTCCCTGTTCCCTGACAGGAAACCTCGCATCTACAAAAAAAACAAAGAAGGGTTGTGGGAACAGGTTTGTTCTGACAAGATCTAACCTGGAACCAACCACCACAACTGCTTTAGGGAAGTACAGTCTTGCAAGATGAGCAATTTGTTGTAAAAAGGATATTGCTGGTCACAAATATCATTGTTCCTGTGCTTTTCAAAATAAAATATTTTGATAGAAGTAACTTGCTTTTTCTGCATTACTTACGTAGGAATCAGGGTTTTTGAAGTAAGAATTTGGCTTTGTTTAGGCTCTGCTGCTCCAGTGCAGTAATTTGATGGGCACAGGTAGAGAGGGGGCAGTGCTGGAGACTGAGAAGGTGAGTCACTACACTGGTGTGCACTTCAGAAAGTGATTTTGCACACACAGTGAAAGGAAGCTGCACACACTTACTTAGAGCTTGCTGAAATGTAGGGAAGTGTCCTTCAACAAGAACTTAATTCCAGAGTTATAATTTGAAGAATCTTTATTGAAACATTCAGGTAAGTATCTAAAGAATGAAGCTCATTCCAACAAAACTACTGATTTAACACTTCCAAATATAAAAACATTAAAAATTAATCTTTGTGGTGATAACTTCATCCCCAACAAATTACTCTTATTATTAACATACTTCATTGCACCAAAGAAACCAAGGAGGAAGACTAGTCAACTTAATTGCTTTTGCACTTTAGAAAAATTGCACTGATTTACATAAATTACCCCAACAGCAAAATTAACCTTGTTTGTGGCATCCCAGCCCTGCAGGCTTGAGGAGCTGAGAGTCAAATCAGGTGCCAATACAATTCAAAACCCTAAATTTTTCAGATTATCAAAGTAAGCCCCAGGACCACTACAGCCATTATGGTATTAATGGATACCCATCGGGAGGGGAAGAAAAAACCCAGTATTTGTATCCAGTCCTACAAGGATGGGATGGTTTGCATCAAAATCAGGTGACTCAAGGCTCTGAAAATCTGCAGTGAAGTGATTAAGATGATCCAGGGGGAAAACACTTTTAGACCTTGGGTTTGGCTTTATCCAAAGTAGTCCCAGACACTCTGAAGTTGTGCTGTGCTGTAAATAACCTAAATAGTTTCTTTAGAGTCTGTACAATTCCTACCATAGGTAAGTTACTGTTATTCAAAAAATAAGTGTCGAAACCATCACAAATGTATTGGTTTTTCAAGCTTTACTACAACTATCTTTAAAAATACACAACAGAAAGAACTCCAGTTACACCACATCAACGTGTGCGAGCGGATTTGGTGTCAATGCCGTGCAAAGGAACGCAACGGTGCCTTGGTGATCCTTCCCAGGGGTGGGAGCAGGGAGCTGGTCAGGCATGCAGAGGCACTATTTCTTTCTAAAAGGCTTAGAACTCATGAACTCGGTCCCCACTGTCCCCAGGGCCGTGGCTGGGTGGGTGAAGCACAACAGCAGAACAAATGGTTGCTGGCCAAGCACTCCTCAGTGACCCCTATTTACACGGGCGCCCGGCCCGCCCAGCGCCCGCCATGGCTGCTGGGCAAGGTGCTGGATAAGGTAACAAAAGGGAAGCAGGTCAGTAGTGTGACTGCAGGAGAGGTTAAACTGAATTGTAAATACTAAAAGAGTGAACAACTGGCAGTTGTTCGGGTTTTTTTTTTATAAGATGTAGTAGCATAAGATCATTGTATAATTATTGGGTGCAACTGTATTTTTAACCGTGTGCATGGCTGATGGGTTCGTTAGCAGGTGTTACCATGCGTAGATTCCTGCAGGAAGGATAATTGCTAAGTGTTTTTACAAATGTTTATGAGCACTTAATAAATTTCACTACTGCTTTGGTGACACCGACATGTAGAGGATTAAAGCAACTGTAACAAGAGTATGATAAGACAAATCTCTGTCCCAGGGGAGGGAATTTATATTTGTGCAAAATCCCAGTTAATAAGTTACAGTAGTTATTACTGTACTAGTGTGTGGCACTGTTCACATTTTCAATGCATCATTAACACCCTGCCTCCCTGGGCAGGGGCTGCCTTGGCAAAGTCTGAAATCCACACTGAATTTTATCTTTCACTTGCTTGTTCCTCTCCCTTCGTGCAGTCAGGTGGTGATTTGTCACTGTGAGTGTCCTCAGTGTTTGTCTGTGCCTGTGCCACCTCCTTCTGCTCCTCTGGTATTTCTGTCTCCAAAGGTCCTTGCTCCTGGCTGGGGGATATAGCTGGGGGTCTCTGATCCATCTTCTCCAGGTCATCACAGTGGCTGATGGAACTGGTCTCACTGAACCCATCAGAGCTTCTTAGAGACCTTTTAAAAGCTTTCTGACCTGCAAAGTGTTTGAAGCACACAGTACCCATGAAGGCAGCAAACAGTGCTGTGCACAAGTTCAAAGGAAGTATTGTAATTCTACAACTGCAAAAACATAGGTTTTGTTTTGGTGCTACTTTGTACCTAAATACAGACCCCCCTCCCTTGCAGTTAGAGACAGGTCTGCAAAGTAAAAGCAGCTGTCCTTGTATCCTGTATATGCAGAGACAGGTAAAACGGAGCTGAAACCAAACTGCCTACACACAACAATGAAGTCATTCCAGGGAAAAAACTTGCATAGAAAACTACAGGCTGGAAGCCACCAGCTCAAAAGGTGAGTTAAAACTGTGGGTTTCCTGCCAATCAGATCAGCATTAATTACTAATACAACTATGCAGAGAGTGCCATAGATTTAACAGACCTTCACCTTAGAAGGATTTTGTCCACAAAATATTTGGTAGCAATAGAAATGCAGTTGCTGAAGTACATGATTACATGATGTTATGCTTTTATTTCAAAAAGAACTTTTGGCTTGTTGCTTGCTCATTTTTAAAGCTCAATAACCTCATAATATTCTAGAGGAAGATTCCAGATTTCATGGACTGTTGTCAGCTAATGGGATAACAACTTCTTGTAGGCCCAGGAAGAATTTGTGGGGAGAAAAGAGGTTGGGTGGTGGTCTGCGTCATGTGTACAATAAGGTTTTTAAGGCAGTAGAAGATGAGCTCCAGTTCCAGATATTAAGAAAGATGGAAAATCATGTGGTTCATCCTGTATCAGGATGTTTTAGCGAGTTTTAGAAATTTAACTAAGACACAGAAACTCACCAGGAAGTCTTTGCTTTGCAATGCTGGAAGTGGGAGTGGGTGGTGGAGTGGTGCCTGTTCCTTGGGCCTTTGACACATACGTGGATTCTGTGGATTCCAGAGAGCCTGTGGGTTAAAAAAAAAAAAAAAAAAGAAGTTGACTATAACCCAGGCTGGAGCAGTTTTCTGTTTGCATTTGTAAGGTATGTAACAGTCTTCTTGTTAATGCACATTTCTGAAAGTGCATGTGCTGGTTGAGTTCAACCTGCCACGCAGTGGGGGATCCATTTCTGAGTACCCGGGGACACGAGCACTCACACTTCAAAAATGGATGGTTTCCCTCACACTCACAACACTGCTACACCCTGCAGGCCCTTTTCCTTTCTCCCCTGGGCACTTGACATCTTCCCAGCTGCAAGCTATGGAGCAGTGCACATGGAAGGGGTATCTAACCAGCATTCTCAGGGGAACCTGGCTGTTCTCTGCTGTCAGGACCTGCCGGTGCATCCAGAGTCAGAAAGGCCCCAAGCACAGCAGGAAGTCTTCCCTGCAGGTTACAGACACACAGACAGCCAGGCCAGGTGTGACAGACACTGCTGAGTTCAGGAATATTCGTTCTTCATTCTGCCACAGTATTTTTACAGTGGAAATTTATAATTTCAGAAAGTATTATGTTGCTACGTCAGTCTTACCGATGTAAAAGCTTAAAGGCAGCTCCTTCCACATCACCAGACATAAATTACAAATATGTTCTTGTACATCCTGAGGGTGGATCATGTCAGCGAGCCCTACCTGCTGTTAAATTGAACGTCCTTCCCTTCGGAGAGGCTTGGAAGGGGGAAAACCAGTTCAGCACAGAGCCCACCACAGGAATCTGTCGCAGCACCCCCTGCAAAGCACAACCCAACACTGGCTGGTGAGCAAGTGACCCCTTTGTGACAAGTTATCTCAAGGTACAGCTGATGTTTAGAGCCTTACCTCCTCCAGAAGTCGTTCTTCATTTGCTTTCTGAAGCTGAAGCTGTGCTTCCTGGATCCCTTTTCTAACAACTTCAGTCATGTTTTCCAACAGCTAATAAAACCCAGAAATAATTATATATATTATTCAGCCTTGAAATTGTCTTTTCAGTTCAGGTTTTCAGGATCTAGACAGGGTAGTCAGATATTTTTCTAATTTAAGACAGTATTTGACAATCTGTTTCATTATGACTGTAAATTAAAGAATATACAGGCTTACTGTAGGATTTTTAACAGATAAACCCAGAGGAGAGAATGTAATTTTAAACAGGAAGGGTACTTTTTTTTCCTTAACACTTAGAAATTAGCCTGTGACCCATAGTCTTCAAAGACCTGCTTAGCAACTAAGGTGAATATCTGGGAAGAATTT